GCAGCCCAGATGAGGCATACCTGTAAAAAGCAGTTATATGGGTACAGTTGTGTCTCTGATAGGCACTTCTGGAGGCAATTCTTCTAATAATGCATTGCACCTTCTTGTTGCTCACTATGCGGGAGAGATCTGCAGGATGGGCATATTCTGGGATAGCACAGCCCAATAGAATGATGTGGAACAAGCAATCTAGTATAGGCAGCCTAGCCAGAGGATGCTGCTATATAGTTATTGAGATGTTCACTCCATTATAGATGCCCCTATTCAGGAGAGAAGTGGGTTATACTATTTTTTATGTAGATAGATCCACCCGTAGATCTTTTGGTGTATGGTTGTGCAGAGCAGAGTAGTTTGGACACTCTGTTAAGTGAGGTGGGTCACCTCATGTGGCTGCACTCATGGGATGGAAAATGCTGCTAAGTCAGTCAGCTATACCAATATAAAACCTGTATGGAGAAAAGGCTTTATGCTTTTACTTGTGGTTACTGTCTTTATTCATTTGCCCCCTTGGTAACTTTTTTGGTACAGTATGTATCTCTTTCTTGTACATAACAAGAGTTGGGTGGATGAGATTATTTAGGTTTGCTTCCTGCTGTGAAGGTGTTACATGTAAGCGTGTGTGACTGACCTCTTGCATTGTCTGCCCAGCCTTTGGGCTGCTGGGGATTAAAGGACTTGCATGTGGGGGCACTGCCTCCAAACCCACTTCTGTGAGTCTGGCTGGGAAGAAAGACATTTTGTTCTGCATATGAAGAGATTTTAAATCTTTCTTCTGTAGTGAGTTTGAGAGAGCTACCTCTAAAAACCTCCAGGTAACTCACTGTAAATAAATCTAGGTGAGTGAAATACTTTTATTTTTGAAGCTCTTAAAACATGTTTTATAATGGAGCTTAATGATGTCTTTGCAGTGGGAAGTACAGGAATTACAGCAACGTCTGCCATCATCTGCAGTACAGGCAGGCATGTTACAAATTCTCCTGTATAATCCAGTAAAAATACAGTATGCCTGGCATGTAGTATTTACAACTGTCATAAAGTTTTTGGTTATGCTGTGAGCAGCATCAGCCCCATTATGCTCTTAAAATCACCTAAGACTAATTCACTGATGGATCCCAAAGAGTTTCGTTAGAAACTTTTAAAGAAAATTATAATAAATGTCTCTTTGCAAAGACAGTACTCTTCGGGTGTATTCATTCTTTGAGAGAAAAATACGACTATTGCCTAGTCATAAAAGTAAAAAAGGACAGATTTTTTAATTCATTACAGCTAATTAAAATGCATGTAATTTGAACTTATTACCAAAAATGCATAACTGCAGCAATTTGGAATGTATTACTGTATGTATGAGAACGGTTTTTCAGCATAGTTATACAGCAAAGTATTTTCCTTATTCTGATTTATTTCTACACTTGCAAAATCACACATCTGTGCATCATTTCATCAGTTTTTGGCAAACATATTGTCAGCCTTTTGCCTGAATATTTCAATAACAGCTAATCAAAGTAAAATCTCATGTTCAGCTTACTTATTAATTAATTTTCTAATGCTATGCTGATATGCATTGGAAACAATGCCGCTAAATCAGGGGGAAAAAGGTACAAGAAAGTTGAATCAGAACTGAGGTGTTTGGCATTAATGGTCTGTGTGCTGCCACTTCAAATTTCACACGTACTCCAAAACACTGAGGAGACTGACTATTAAGATAATTAAAACCAGAAAGATTGTGGGTTGTATGGATTCCAAAGCAGAAGAATAAGAAAAATCATTCTTAGTTTACAATGAAGAGGATAGGTAAACAAACAGTCTAAGAAAGGGTTTCGTTTTTTGGGGTTTTTTTTAAATATATCAAATAGAAGTGGATTAATTGAAGGAATTAAAAACAGAAGCAGCTTTCATTCTTTGAGTCACCATTTGGGGCCCTTGAGCAAAGCTGATGATGTTTCAGGACAGAAGAAAATCAACAGTATGCCACTTCCAGTACCTATTGAATGTTACGCAGTTAATAATGTGAAAAAGAGAGCTTGCTGCTACAATTCCAAGGTTTCCCTTTTGTCAGAGAAGCAGCCAGGTTCAGTTGCCTGTTGGGTATTCCTCACTTGTGCTCGGTGAATTAAAATGGCTTCTCCTCAAACAAAAGAAACAACCCTCAAATTGCAGGGCAAGATTTTTTGATAGCCTTGATATGAACTGCCTCAAAGATGAGAGTCTTCTTTTAAAAAAAGGAAAAAAAGTCTTCCAAAGGTGTTTTGAATTAATATTATTTGACCTTGAAGACAAAAAGGGAGTTCTAGTAGCAACAAATGCAAGCAGAGATGATTGTCCGTGCTCAAGGACTTGACCGCAATTTCTACTCAGAGGAAGCTCCTGCAGAACGAGCAGTGTAATTTTTGGAAACATGTACCTTAACAGTTGTGCATTGCAGGAGTGAATTTTTTTTCCGTCTGCTGACCTGGGCTCATATCTGTGTTTTGCTTCCAGGACATGCAGCACAGATGGTGGAGACTAATTGGGGTGGAGGGCGAAGCCTCCATGTGCTCTTGAAATCCTGTGTCTTGTCCAGAGGTCAAGGGGGCAGTTGCTGTAGCACAAGCATCCTCAGGGCTGATGTGAGTGGTGACAGCCTCCCTGGGTTTGCCTGCTGATCATGATGGAAAGCTGAATGGCCGTAGGGGCCGTCTAACACACTTTTGTCCAGCCAGATTCCTCTAGCCCTCTGTCTGACTCAGCCTAGTGCGTGTGTTTGTGTGGAGGGTCTATAGTGAGCTCAGTAGGAGCCCCAGCAGATGCAGAAGCAGCATTTGGGGTTGGCATCATCTTTTCTGTGCCAAGGCGGTTTTCTATTGGCTGCCTTTTCATGGACTTGCATTTTAATCATAGAATCATAGAATGGTTTGAGTTGGAAAGGACCGTAAGATCACCTAATTCCAATCCCCCTGCTGTGAGCAGGAACACCTTCCACTAGACCAGGTTGCTCAACGCCCCATCTAGCCTGGTCTTGAACACTGCCATTCTGTGTTTTTTTACCAGTGTTGCTGCAAATACACCTCTGGTAAACTGCTTCCTCCTGCCTTTTCCAAGTGTCAGAGCTTTGGAGGACAGGATGGCCCTCAGGGAGATGCAGACTGTTTCCTTGCACCAGCCCTGGTGCTCAGAGATGTAGTAATGTAGCAAAGAAAAAGTCTCAGCAGGGCTTGTCTCCCTTTTATGTCTGTCCATACCCCTCATGGCAGTGCTCAGTCCCAGCCACTGTTCCAGATGTCATTATGTGCAGATTAGGGAGGAAATGGAAACCTGTTTACAACTCTGAGCAGTTGCACCATGCATCAGAGTAAGTGCTGCTGAGGAAGGGGAATACAACAGGACACCTGTCCAGACACCCTCTAATCTGTGTCTTCCCGTTGTTAGAGTTGAGATGTGACATACAGAGAAACCACACCCGACAGCTGGGTTTTCCTGTCATTCTGAGGGATCTGGGAAGGTGGCTGCAATGGCAGAGAGAGATGCTAATCAGAGCTTCTGTAGAGCCACATCATGTAATTTTTGTTGTGTTTTTTTCATCATACCGTCAACAAGCATCTCTCATGTTCAGTCTTATATTCTCCATATGCAGGTATGCTGTGTTATACCCAAGCTTTTTGTTTGCTCTGTCATCTTACCCTCATTTCTTACCCTCACTCTTACCCTCATTCTTACCCTCACTCTGCTTCTCCAGTTAAGCAGTAGGCAGCCATAGGTGAACTGCTAAAGGTGTTGGCCATGCTAAAAAGATCCTGAGAATACCTCATTTTCAGCCTGAGCAGCAGTAATGAAGCAGAACTGTCATGTGGCAGGACCCCCAAAGAAGGAGTGCTGTAGATGAACAGCATGTGCAGTTTAAAATGGTCATTTAATATGCCATCATCAGGCTAACTGACATCAAGAAGCGAGATGTTAAGGGCTTTTTAATGGACATGTGAAGTAGCATGAGGATTAAGCTGACACTTTCTCATGTCTGTGAGCAGAGGTGGCCTTTCTGCTGTATCATTTGTGTGTTGTAGAAAGAAGGCAAATGGCATACAATGTAACTCTCCGTGAGACATGTCCATATACATTTTAATTACAAAGGTCAGGTCCACTTGTATGATAATTAAATTTTAATAAAATCAGAATAATTTATAACATTCAAGTCCACTTCTGATTGAGCAGGATAGGTATCCCCCACGCAGCCTTGGTAGGCAATATAATTTATACATGAGCTCAGGATTTTCTGCAAGATGCTGAAATCAACATTGCATGTTAGGGATGTGGATACTTATTTTAGGCACTGAATTTGAAAATTGTGGTTTGTAGAAATATATGCAAAAATATTGCCAAAATAAGCATTCAAAACCTCATTTCAATATGCAGCTGCTTGTAAGCACAGTAATTAGGATATATTGGGTAAATTTACTGCATCTTTTCTCACCCACACCAGTGAGATAGAAGTTGCAGATTTCAGATGAAGACTCAACAGATCTTTAAACTCCAGCCAGGACTCAGCAGAAATCCATCTGGGAGAGCAGGTCTGCTGCTTAGCCTGGTCTTGTTTCCACTGCTCTGAGCTCTTTGATGGAGGGAATGCTGTTGGAATCACCCAGCTCCCACCTATTGCAGATGGATTAATTGTGGTTGTGTATCTGCAGCATTGCTTTCTGGCATGTCAGCAATGGGTTAACTCAACTTTTAAGGTCTTCAGAATAGTTTTAACAAATGAACTCATTTATCCTCACAATCCTGCAGGGAGGGAAGAAAGGAGGGGGAGAGTCAGTTTGACTGTTTTCTGGATAAAGGAACCAAACTGGGAGTTTTGACATTTTTCTCAGCAGTAATCAATCAGTGTCTGCTTTACACTTCACATGCCATCACCAGTCACTTATTGCTCTAAATGTCGTGTTTACACTGCAACAGGCGATCCATGCTCCTTCTAGCTTGCTGCTTCTCTGAAATAAATCATCAGGTTTTACATCTACTTTCTCCTCCAGCTGGGGTGATGCTGGTCCCTGAAAGGAAGACGGAGGATGGGTTTGAGGAGCACTTCGGCTTGAACTACTTGGGACACTTCCTGTTGACTAACCTCCTCCTGGATACGCTGAGGCAATCAGGAACGCACAGTCACAACGCTAGGATCATCACTGTCTCATCAGCCACCCATTATGTAGGCAAATTGCACCTGAGCGACTTACAAAGCAGGTACTGAACCATTTTTGGTGTTCACTGATCTGTAATAAGAGTGTGCAGATTAATCTCCAAGAAAATTGTTACTGAATACTCAGTGTGGGTTTTCTTCTGTTGCCTTTTTTTTTTTTTTCTCTTAATTAATGGGGATTTTCAAGGGTTCCTTAATATCTTTCAAGCTTGAACAAAGCTTTCAGCCTTCAGTCAAAGATACAAATCATTTAGAAGCTTGTGAACTGGGTCTTTTATTCTGAACCTTAAAAGACTGCTTTCCTTTCTGATGCTTATGCTGTGGTGATGGTTGTGGTGCAGAACCTGGACTCGTCACTGCCTAGTCAGGGAGACTCTCAGTAACTGGGATGTTTTAAAATGGCTGGGGCAGATGCTAATAGACTTCATCCGTAAGTGAATGCATAGGTAGAGGCCCTGATCCTGCCCTCATATGCTTGTGGCTGCTCGCTCCCTGCCTGCTGCACATGGGGCTGCTGACTTGACTGTGGGGGGGCCGCTTGCCCAGCCCACATGCTGCCTGCTGCTCCTTCCTCCCTGCCAGCTCTGCCCCGTGGCCTGTGACTCCTGGCACACTGTTGTCTGTTCACTCTGCCTCTGGCCTCCACCTTGTCATGCACTGCTCCTGACATCCTGGTCCTCCCTGTCGGCCTCCCTCATAGCCCTTCTCCAGCTTCCCCCACCTGCCTCCCAGCCCCAGGCTGGGTCATCCCTCCCACCTGTGGTGCTTGCTCGCTCACGCATCAGCCTTGTGATTCACTGCACATGCAGGAGCCCCGGCTCTTGTTTGTGTCACCTGAGAGCTTACCTGGATCCAAGTGCACAGCCAGCCTGGTTTTTTAACCCAGTAAGACAGGTTAAATGCATAGTTGTTTGCTGTCCGACTACCTTCCTTTAGGAAAACTGTGTGTCAAAGTCTATGGGATAGATCTAACATTAGGAAGGCATCGAATGATGTGGTGAATGCGTCTGGTGTCATGCAGGAGCTGTGAGGTGTTGTTCAGTTAATTGAGGAACAGACGGGATAACCGAGACACATTTAAGAAGTTCCATTTCAAAAACAGATACATTTCAAAAGTTCCCCCGTGAAGTCACGTGTGGCAATTACGCACCTATTAACAGGCTCCAACAGAGCCTGTCTCCTAAGGGGCTCCAGGGAGTTTCTGCCTGCATGGATCCAGTCTGAGTTTTTCATCACGTCCATGGAGAAATTCTGTCCCCATCCTATGACAGGGACTTCTGCACATGTTCAGAGGCACCTGGCCTGAGGTTTCATTTTGAAACAAAGACTGAATTTAGAGGGCTGGGCTTTTTCCACTGCAGACATTTTACATATGAATGCTGCATTAAGCACGTCAAACTTTCTCTTTGACTTTTGATTGCATACTATGGTATCAGTTTTATTACAAGCACATTGTTTAAACTCTGTGGGGTAGTCACAGCTTAATCGCTTGCTTGTAAAACAACCACAGGAAATTACCCTACTCTTCAGTTGATGTATGTATTCATTGTTTCTGATGGGCATATGCTGGATGGCACCATGCAAGGGGCTAAAGGGAGTGTAATTAGTATTTCTTTGGGCTAAAGTGCTGAATGCAAACTTAAATATGGATATTCTATGTTTCTAGATAGCAGTAGTTTCCTTGATTATATCAAAGCCTTGTGTTGTGCCTCTTTAATTTAGGGTCATCCTTACCTTTGATTCACCATTATTAACTCATACTCTAAAGGAACTAGAAATGTCTCAGGAGAGTTATGGTTGAGTATGAACATGATCAATCTGATGCAAAAAATAAAAACATACCAGTGAGACTGATGTGCAGCTTTTGCACCCAAACCTGCCCTTTACATTTCAACTTTATTGGTGTAAGATGAGCCATAAAGGATGACAGATTCTGGCTGACTTTGCCTGCTCTTTCCCGCATGGGTGCTCTGAATCATGTGGGAGCAGTAGTGGTGCCTGATTTCCAAGCACAGAGGCACACTGGTGGAACGCAGAAGGGGCTGTAGATTCAGCTCAAAACCTTTTCTTGATTCAGGTGGAAGAAGATACTCCTGGTGGTTTTTTTAGCCTATTGTCCATAAGTGCCCTGTCAGGTGAATAGTTAGTTATTGCTTAAATGGTGCTAATGAAAACAGTGATATCCCTTCCACATTTGAGTGTGTGCCTACAGCATGAGTGGCTAGTTTAGCAACCAACCCTGGAGGACTGCTGTGGGGCAGCATACGCAGGCATTGCCTACATCACAGGGCCTTGGAGGCGCCTGGTGGTTCAGAGCGGTGTTGAAGAGCTTTAATGGATGTGGTAAAGACACCCATGGTAAGCAGTGATATGATAGTGTTCCACAAATTGCCACAGTTTCCCAGTGATGCCATCCCTCATTTTTGCCGCTTGTGTGAATGGGAAATCTTTCTAAAGGATTTATAATGGCTTTTTCCTTATATTGAATTGCACTAGTTGGCTGTAATTCATTTAACAACTTGGGTATATTTTCCCAGATTGGCTGGTCCTGACCTTGCAGGAAGTCAGCAAAACAATTTGGAGTCATTTACTCACAGTGGAGAAAGGGGGCCATACTCTGTGATGGAAACAATACCAGTGGCCGCAGACTGAATTGTTTACCGTGCTCTTGTCCCATTATTCCTAGGTTTTGGTTGGGCTAGTGTCCAAACTGGAGGTGAGTGATAGTGGCCGAGGAGGGATTCATCCATCAAGTATGTCAGAGAAGGAAAGGCAGAAGACTTTCTTGACATAAAGGAGACAGTAAACTGAGGTTGTCTTCTCTGCTTTACCACAGATTTTTCTGTGGGATCATTCTCCCACTTGGGAGATTCTGGGTTGGCAGTCACAGTTGTGGCTATCGTTCCCCATTGCTTGTACTTGCTGCTCAGAGATCTGCTCTGAAGCCAAATGTCTTCCATATCACAGTGACCACAGGGCAACAGCATAACAAAAAATTGTTGGAAGGTCTGTCCCATGAACAGTATTAAATGAAACTTGTGTTACTGTCTTCCACGTTTCCTCTTTGGCTTGTTTTCTGCCTTCTTACCAATCTGATTTATCCCATGTTTCTCTTCTCAGCTCCTTTTGGGCAGGATGGTTCATTTTTTTTTTTTTTATTTCTTTTCCTTGCGTTTTACATTATTTTTCTTTGTTTTGTCTCTCTTCATGCATGCCTACTCAATTCCTCTGTTCATAGTTTTATTTCACCTGTGTCTTTTGAGCTTTTTTGTCTCCATTGCCTTTTCCCTCCCTGTGTCATTGTTTTTTAGCTTTTTGGGGGGAGGAGGGGATGTAGTGTCTTACTTCTGCTCACCTTTTTATTTCCTCCTCTCCATCTATCTTCCTCCTATCTTCTTCCTCTAACCCCAGTCCTATTTTTCCCTAAGAATGTAATTTCTTCCTCTTGTTGCTCATCCTCTTCACCTTCAGCCATGAAAAAGACACAGCATGGGTACATCAAGGCAGGACAGAGCTTGTTCCAAACTGGCAGGGCATAGCTTGTTTCATGTGTGTTATTGAAAATGCAAACGCACAAGAGCAATGACTGTTCTCCCAGTTCTTTTGCTGAAGGATATATGAAGAACATCAAACACCTTTGTGGTCTTTTAGATCCAGACCATTTTCAACAGCAATCACATGAGTCGACAAGGGGATCCCTAAGGCAAATCATTCTCCTTCATCCCTGCTTTGAATATGAGTGTTTTCAAGGAGGTGAAAGTTTAACAGAAATGCTATCAATCTGCAAACGTTAAGACAGTGAGGATTTCAGCAGTTACATGGTGAGGGTAGTACACTATGGACTCTAACAGCATAGCTGGGATGGTTTTTTTTCTTCTTTTGCCTGACTTAAATATTACTTTCTAAAGTGAGAGGTGAAGAAAATACCATCATGAGAGAATTATGGCTGGCTGGTTTTAGCAAAAGCTTGAAGAACATTGTGCTATCCCCTTGGGTTGAGATAGACTTGAACACTGCACTGGAGTTCATGGTGCTCTTACAAGGCTGGGATGGAGGGCACTCCTTCGAGTACGCTGCCCACCGAATTAAGAAGGGATTTTAGGAAAATTTTAGAAAAAGAAGACCTTTTTCCCTTTCCCAGCCTATGGGCCACACCTGAATATGCTCCCTTTTCCAGAGGTTAGCATCTTTGTGTGTTCTGTCTAGCTTTTTGTCCATGACTAACTTATTCCTTTCATCATCCTCTCTTTATGCATGACAAATGGGCCCTGTAATACTGTGAATCACAGATCTGTGAACTCCCCAGCCACAGTAACACAGCTTCTTCTCTGGTTCATGTCTCCTGTATATTCAAGACCAGCTAGTCACACTTCTCTTTCCTCTGCTCTCCAACTGCTGAAGAGCTGATATTTTTTGTAACTCCCCAATCTGGTTCAGTCCCCAGATAATTTCTGTATTTTTTCCCTGTAGCCCTAGCACATGAATCATGTCAAAGACAATAGAGATTGAATGAGAGGAGTTGCAAAAATCCCAGTGGCACATCTGCATCCCAGCTGGTGTAAAATAGGGTAAACATCTCTGCCCAGGACTTGGGAGGATACTGGGGAGACCAGGCAGCTCCAGTTAATCTCCTCTGGTAGATAGTTCGTAAAGACTGTAACAGGAGGTGTTGCGTACTGATGGGAAAATCTGTCTAGCAAAGTGTCTGGAATTCTCCTGTTCTTGGATGGGTGGTGTCCTTTGTCTTCACTTCTTGGTGTTTGTTGGTAAATGAATGATTAAATTTGTGCAGAAAATTGAGGATTTTGTCCCATTAGCATTGCTGAGATTTTGAATATATTGCCCATCAATAACAATGAAAAGTTAAAATATCAATTTACTTTTGGAAAACATGAATCCATTTTTCAGACCAGATGCTTTGATTTCAGTGATTTCTGAATATTTTATTTCTAATTTATTTGTAATTATCCTTGTGAGTAGATTGCCATTTATATTTTGAAGCATAATGTTGATGAAACTGAAACCCCAAATCTTTAATTTCTAA